TAAGTCTTCTAAAAAGTGTTAGGAGATAACTACACTTAAAACAATAATTTTTGGAATCATCAAAACTATACAAGTTACAAGAATGTAAAACATGCAAATAACAACTCTGCTAACAAGGCGGATTGTCTAGCTGAATTAGCCAAAAGATGTGGCAAACACTGACGAGGAGATGCCTATAAAAATTATGGTTCGTGGCTGTTGGGTCTTAGTGTCACGACCCGACCCGATCCGGGACGGATCCCGCTCGCACCGGGCCGCGACCAAACCTTTTATCCAGGATCTGGCTTTGGAATTTGCTTATTGAACTGAATCTTCCAAATATTTCAACTCAAAGACCAACACACAGACCAGATGGAGCAGATTTTGATATTACACTTAGAGCCCACAATTTTGCAATTCCTGTAAGCAGATGGAATACTAGTTTCAAGCCAGTAAGAAATAACCCTGGTTGATCCTTAACCTCCCAAACAGATCATTATTAAAAATCAACTAGAAGAATGTCAAGTAATTAAGAGATGTAAGACCAATAGATACTTAGAATTATGGTTGCATTGCCTCAATATTTAGGAAGGTGATAATTGAAGGCAACCCTTCATCGACTATTTCAAAGAAAATAAACTCCCAATGGATAAATCTCTAGCCATGCAAATTTGAAAGAGAACATTATGATATGTGTTTATCTATGACATGTTGTATTGTCGAGCTTTTGATCAGATGTGGCTAAGTTTTTTAGAGACAAAGGAAGCTAATAAAGTAATAATAGAAGTCCATTAAGGACTTTGTGGTGTATATCAGTCAGATCCCAAAATGACCAAAAAAATCAAGAGAATGGGTTACTATTTACCAACCAAGGTCAAAGATTATATTGACCATGCCAAGAGTTTCCATGAGTGTTAGATCTACGATGATGTTATACATCAGCCTTCAAATCTACTACACCCAATAGTAGCATCCCCTCCATTTGATTGTTGGGGCACATATATAATTGGGCTGATAAATCTGCCATCTTCAACAGGACAATGCTTTATTATGGCAGTAATAGACTACTTCTCGAAGTGAGTAGAGCGGCTCCATTCAAAGAAGTCACACTTGAGCATATAATCAATTTCTTTATCCATAACGTTATTTATAGATTTGGTGTGCCACACCACATAATCTTGGATAATGATACAGCTTTTAAAAGTACAAAATTTATAAGTTCATTGATCTGTATCAAATCGATTGGCGGTACATATCAATATATAATCCAAAAGGATATGGCCTAGTGGAAGCCTTCAACAAAACACTAGTAAAATTGCTAAAGAAGCTCTCACCAAGAATAAAAAAGAGAGTGACATATGAAGATGGCAGAAGCACTATGGGTATATCATACAACCTATAAGATGCCAACCAAAGCTACTCTTTATTTATTGGTGTTTAGAGTTGAAGTAGTATTGCCACCAGAAGTTGAACTATCATCACTCCGGGTAGCAATCCATAATGATCTAAATGTAGAGAAAAATGCTTGCCTGAGAATGAAAGAGCTCGACCCACTATATGAAGTTAGGTTACAAGTTCAACAAAACCTAGAAATATATTGAGGAAGAATGGCAAAATCCTTTGATTGGATGGTGCATCCTCGGGCATTTCAAGAAGGAGAATTATTCCTGGTGCTGAGAAGGCCAATTATCTCACACCAAAAAATTATGACAAGTTTGTATCTAATTGGGAGGGCCCCTCTGTCATCAAGAAGATATTTCAAGGAGCAGCTTATCAGTTAATCGACCTGGAAGGTCAAAGACCTATGCCGCTGATCAACGATCGATATCTAAAGAATTATCACATATAAAATTGCCCAAGAAAATGTTATGGTCAATGTGTTATATATTTTTGTACATATTTGTTATAACATATGCATTTCATATTTTAAAATTCTCTTATGTTACGAGAATGCATTTCAAATGGGGGTATTTTAAATATCTATTCAGGTCGACATCGCACTATATGCCAAAATCTCCAAAAAAATATTCAAAATCTCCCTGCGAGATAGAGGATATTTTATATATATTATTTGGGTTAACATTGTGCTACATGTTAAGATCCCCAAATAACTATTTAAAAAATTTAAAATTTTGAATTTATTCTAGTTTGGAATGTCTCTGCAAGATAGGGGCATTTAAATATTTATTCAGGTCTATATCACGCTGTGTGTTGAGATCTCTGAATAAATATTTAAAATTATCAATACAAATATTTATTTATGTTGAAGAATGTAATCTCTTTTTGAAAGTATATACAAGTGATCTTTTGAAAGTTCGGGTCACCACCTTCTCTAACGTAGCAAGATTTGAAAGTCAAGAAAGAGACTTTCATGACTACATACTCCAACAAATTAAACCAAAATTGCTTGAATTCTATCAACAGCCTAAACCTTAAGGTTTGAATAGGTGTAAAAAGCTGGATCCAACACGGCCAACTATGGACGGATCATTGGTAGCTCCATCTATTAAATAAGCCATAAGAAAGGACATATTAGCGAAACCCCCACTTTTTCAACTTATTAGTTGGGACTGTAGGAAGTACGAAGGTTAATTTGACTCAATAAGTTCAAGTGATCGTAGTCTACCAAATTCTCCTAATTAACCAGAGAATCAATGTTCTAGTGGGGAGGAAGTATCGTGAGTTACTACAAAATATGTATAGGCTCTAAATCTTCAACCATAAAAGAGAACTCCAAATCAATCAACTTCAATAAAATCAGCATTAGGAAGCACATTTCCCATAGCTCAAATCTAAAGCCTGAATGGGTGTAAGATGTAGGATCCAACAAGCCCAAATATGGTCGGATCGCTGGCAGCTCCATCTACTCGATATGCCATAAGAAAGGTCGTAGTAGAGGAACCTCCATCTCAGCAACTAGAGGATGAAGAGCTACTGAATCTTAGCTCTCCCAATCTGATGAACTTAAGTAACTTAGATTAAAGTCTCCTCAATTGGTTAAGGATCAGGGTACTACCTGCATTTCATACTATCGAATAAATATGAAACCTACAAATATTTAAAAATTTTAATAAAGCATAAAGTGATGATCGAAGGAACTTTTCATCAACAAGTCCATCAAAGCACAAAGCAAATGACTAAAAAAATATTCTATAATTTATACGAAGCCTAAGGCTAAACTAAGAGGATTTGGTCATCAATAATTTTGTTATACACAAAGCTCTTGATCGATGACTTTTCACCACCAACCTAGTATAAACCTAGGGTTTAGGTTACCGGCTTCTGTTCCTTCATCGATTCAACAAAAGTAAAAAGCATAGGGCCGAAGATACAAAAATAACTTGATAAGTTAGTAAAGACAAATAAGGTAATTCTTTATCAATGTCCATGACACAAAGCATAGTGTAGAAGGAACTAAAATCTTAGGATCCAAGCTAAAGCTATGAAAAGAAACATCCTAAATGATGTCTACAAGTGTCTTTAAAGACTGAGGGTATTTTAAAAATTTATTTGAGTCGACATCATGCCATCTGTCGAGATTCTCAAATAAATATTTAAAATTTATTGTCAAAATTTAGTTAAAGGTGGGAAGAATGGAAGATCCTTAATAAACTGAATGTTCCATCAAAAAGAAGGTATAAATTGGGTAAGATACAATCAGTTTATGAGGTAGCAAAGTCCCGCAATATGATGTATCTACAAAGCTTGGACAAATTTTGAGCAACGCCTATATATATATATATGGCAGAAATGTCAAATCCATACATGATGGTGGCAAATAAGATTGTCAAATAGATATAAAAATACTAGAAACTAAAGCGATGATTGTGGCCAAAGAAGAGAAGGAGGTATCAATAATATATACTACCATTAACCCACAAGGTGATGCTTTAACAACCTAAGTATGAAGTAATCTATCACTCTCTTATGGATCTCTACTTAACAAGATCTAACATATCCATAGTATTATTGACTATAAGTGCATTCAAAGAGCTATGAAGACATCAAGATAGACTCTTTGAGATCTAAAAAATGAAGCCCTTAGCATGAAATCCAAGCAATCTTTTGGAGATCTACTAAATGAAAACCTATGTGTGACATTTAGAGAATATATATGGAGATCCATAGTGTCATTAAACATGCAACAAATGTGATTTATTTTAGACAAGTATCACATTTATTGGGAGGCATTTATTGACCTCTGTGTAAAGCACAAAAAAAATTAAACCTCATATCCCGTCAAAAATCTCTTCAAAATCTACTCGAAATCCCACCGAATCACTATGCACTCGACACCATTCGCATCTTCACGTGGGATTCCAATTCAGAGCTCCTCGATCGCTACTCTCCAATGTCTTTAAAAGCAAACTGAAACCTACAACCTTCTATACACGTTCATCCACTAGTAAAAGCTTCCATAATCCTTCTCTATTCCTGACTCCCCCTTCCTTTCTGATCTCCTTACCATCATCTACCGATCTCCATAGAAAATCGAGATCAACCACCTTCTGACCTCCAAGCCATCGCCTATGCCAAAATCTGTGACCAAACCTCCACTATGTCCGATTCCATACCCAATCGACTCCACCCTGACCTTTCTCTCTGCCCTAGCTGAAGTACCCGCTCCCATTTCCTTTCTATACCTGCCGACTTAACCTCCCCCGATGAAGTTCCTTCTTCTTGTCGGTTCAAAAGTTACAAAATTTTGATTTGAAATAATGACGGGACCTCACTTTCTCTGAAGGTAACTTTCTCCCTTCAGTGATCACTACAAAAAATTAACTTTTAGGGACATATATATTGAGGCACTTTTATTTAAGTTCCTTAAGAAGTAATTATTAGGGCATAAACTTTTTCGCTCTAATTAACATAAGATTTAGCGGGCGGGAACGACATCGTGCGATAAGTTATGGTGTTCGCCTCTTCTCGTTCTTTCATCGCTCTTTCTCTTATTCAACTGTTCGCGAAAGATTTCCCTATGCGTGTTCTCTTCATTTTTCATTACTAATTCTTGATAACCGCTGCCGCGACATCACAATCGCGAAATTGATCGTTGTTGCGACATCACAATCGCGACCACCGCATCAAGTAATATGATTTACTCACCAGCGTCAATCCTTTGAATGTCGATTCGCCAATGTCTATGGATAAAAAAATAATTTCTTCTTTCCTCTTTTGATTTCTAGGGTTCTTTAGGTTCTTTGTTTTACATTGCTAATACTGGTTGATCGTTGTGCTACATCGACAATCGCCTCAACTGCATTAGGTAAAATGCTTTTAATTCTGCGTTCCTTCTTTGTTGAATGGTGACTATCTACTGTTCAAAAATTCTATCTTCTTCGCTCTTTTAATTTTTAGGGTTCTTTACTTTCTTGTAATTTCTGAGCGATCGACGGAAGGCCGACTTTGAAAGAGGTAAATTTTTCGTTGATCTTGAAGTTTATTCGGAGGCTGGTTTGATTTTAGTTCTTTTCATTTTCATATTCAATTGGTCGCTTCCTGCTAATTGAGAGTTTATAGTGCTTTAATCTACTTGATTATAGTTTAAATGGCAACATTGCATAACTCTTTTTTTTTCTAACATTTTGATATCAACAAGTCTATGTATTTTAAATACATTCATGACAAAATATGAATTCCTTCCTTGCTTTTCTATGCTCAGTGTTGATATTGTGTCGTGGTTATTTGTTTGGGAATGATGAATAAAAAATACTCTTACAACCGAAATTTGTTTCGGGGCGCTGCCCCCAGAAACCCCTGTAGGGGCGTTGCCCCTTGACCCCATGACCTGACCGGGCAGGTCGAACCCCGCTAGGGGGTGCTGGTCCCTTTGACCCCCGACCATATGATAGTTTAAAAGACCAATTTTGAGAATTTGCACTTAATTAAAACTAGATCTATAATTATATCATCTTTATTTTGTGCTCATATACATAATGCAAGAAAGACTATCTTATATCCCTTTTTAATTTGGGTGAAAGATGTGTCTAGTACATTTTAACAATGTCCATCATTTTTCAGTTGTGCTTAGAGCCCAAACATCATTAAAAATTTGCATAGGACCACCCCTACCTCTGATCACATAAATAATATTTTCCACTGTTGTATAAGTATGACCAACAAGAGGTGATGGAGATCCAATAGCATCAATTTGCTTGAATTGTCTCGATTTTATATCAAGCAACAAAGTATAATTTCTTCATGCATGATGACCAACACCACCAAAACCACCAAAGATAAGAACTTCTTTAACTCCATTAATCATTAAGGGACTTGCCGAATGACCCCATAGAAAAAACCTCTCAATAGGTTCCCCCAGAATAGTCAATGCATCAACATAAAGAGACAACTTGTGCATTCATGGCATCATTGTTTATTAGTTCTCGATAAAAAATGAAATAGTTGTTGCCAAATCAGCCAAAAATAGCACGCTAAAAAAATTATTACTATAACTAATTGATATCGCTTCATAACATTTCAACAAAAGATCATACAATCCAACAAGTTAATTTTATGTGCAATCAAGAATAATATCCATAATTATATGATGACATAATACCTTTAACTAATTATGATTTAACTTCAAGTTGAACTGCCGACATCAAATTTCAACTCTCATGATCTTCATGAAGTAACACTCACAGCACCACCATATGCATCTAAATTAACTACAACTTTTAAAAACCACATACCAGCCCGCCTCTCACTAGTTCATGTCCGCATTTAGCAAAACCTCCCATAGTTTTCTATTTCTTTTCTTTAAATTCCTTGCATGCCCTTCCAATTCCTCAAAATCATATTTCTACCTCAATAGTTCTCTTCCTTCACTTTCTTATGCTATTGCTTAAAGTTATCACTGTTTAAATAACAAGATTGTTCAGATCTGGCATGTTTTTAGATCAAAACATGGCAAATTATTGAATGTAAATAGATTACGAACTATTCTAGCCTTATACTTGTCAAATAGCTCATTTTTTCTTCGCAAACACTTATTTGATGTTTTCTAATGTGGGAGCATTTTCAACCATTGAAAAGAAAATTTTGAGCCACTAAATACAAGCAATAAAGCACCAAGAAATCCAAAATCCTCTATAACTTGATGATTAATTAAAGCACTTCTGCATGCTATTCAGTCAAATTGATAAATAAAATAACAATAATACTCCTTCAAAGATAGGCATATAGTTGACCCTGTTAAAATCCAAAAGGGAAAGAAAACCAGTAAAAAGAAAACAAGTAAAAAAAAATCTTATAAGGAGCAGAACATGGCATTCCGATCCAACTTTTCACGCCAAGCATACAAAAGCTTGTAACCTGATAAAATTAAATAAGAAGAGTAAATGACTAATATATGTAAATCATTAAACAGAAATTACATAAAAGGAAATCTTTGTATTTCAATCAATAATCTTTTTTTTCTTTTCTCTAATTGTTAAGTAAAACAAAAGACATAAGAAAGGTTGATGGCGAATTCAATCTAGATCAAAAGTAAAATTATAGAGATTTTGACTGAACATTAATTTCGATTTGTTCCAGTTGATTTGAAAGTGGCTTTTTTATGTAAGTTAGCATGGCCGCATGGCTTGCTGTTTCAGTTTTATGTGAGGTTATAGCATAATTTAGATGATTTGGTTGTCTTTAAACCCATTTTAAATGTCATATAATATTTATTAATTTCTAGTAGGAAAAGACTCAATTGGTATGTGGTTTTTAAATAATGTTATTTCCTTCTAGTTCATGATTGATTTGTGTTAAATAAAAGTTGTTGACCTCATTTTTCTCAAGCTGTTGGGTTTATTTTCATTCCTCCGATCAAGTGGATATAAGCCCAATCAGACTCGATCAACCCGATTGAATCCCATCGAGCCTAATTTGAATCAGATCAAACTGAACATGATAGATTTGTGTTAAAACAGTATCAAAACACTTGAAAGCTCACCTTTGTTACATATTATGCCTTGCTCTCCCATATCAATTACCGCTTGACGACTCACATTGTTTATGCTGCTGTATTTTATTTTCAGTGCTCGACTCTATTCATGTTGTTCATATTTTGTCAATGTTGTCCTAATTTATTTCCTCTTGATGCAATGTGCAACTTACTTTCTATATAATATTTATTTGGGTAAATTATAAACAGTGGGATGAGATATAAGAGATTCTTCACGTTGGTTTTAATGAGCCAGGATGCTTTGGGCTTTCAAATGATGTGTTTAATACGACATGAAGATGAGTACGCATCACATAAATTATGTTACAATAATAATGTAGAAGACATGTCAAAAATGCTCAATGAACTGAAAAGATTTATGGATGAATAAAAAAATAAGTTTGACAGTATAAAATATATAATCAAAGAGTAGTTCAAGATAGATTTGGCAGTATAAAATATATAATCAAAGAGTAGTTCAAGATAGATTTGGCAGTATAAAATATATAATCAAAGAGTAGTTCAAGATAGATTTGGCAGTATAAAATATATAATCAAAGAGTAGTTCAAGATAGATTTGGCAGTATAAAATATATAATCAAAGAGTATTTCAAGATCAAGGAATGGAGGAGAATATGCCAATGGTCATCATAAGCTTATAACTTAACATTGTGTTAAAATTGAGACCACTCTATAGATAAAGCGAATATTGTAGGCATACATTAAAATGTATTGTGAGTAGTATTTACCTATGAAATTTTGTTGGTATGCATCTTTAAGTGCATTCAAGCTCAAATGGAATGTATCTTTATCTTAGATCCCTTCAATCAAAAGGATGTGCATCTATGTCTACTGCATAGTCCATGTTATTGCAAAACTAAGAAACACTAATCAATATTAAGCAAGCATACATGAAGAAAGGTCAGAAGATCTAATCCTAAAATACAAGCAAAGGCCTTATAGGACTCCCAACAACATAACTAGAAAATAACCATACTTTTCTACCCAGCTATATGCATGCATCTATGAACAAAGACTCATATAATTATATATGCATGTGTACAGGAATGTATCACAAAGTAATGAAGCACATACTGACCCATAAGAAAATGATGTAGGAAAATGTCAATATTTAGAATTTATCATCATAAACATATGAAAGCATTAAGGAGTTCAATAGATTTTAGCAAATGCAATGCCTTGTTTTAGCACTCAACAACTCCGCGCACATCTCTGATCATTTCCGAACCAAATTATTACTTTATTTCTCTTATGTTAGCAAACAAAATTTATGCAAAAATCATTCTCAATTGCTCAAATCTGTCATTATATTGTCTGATGGGGCTTAAAGCCTACTACTTCGATGAATAAAAAAAATTTCCATTATAGAATTTACTCATATGCAATATTACTATCATTGTTATCATATAAGATTTTATTTATTTTTTTATGAGTTCTTTTACTCCTTGCTTATTCACTTATTTATTTATAATGCAAATCAAAGAATTTACTCATAATTTCTAATATTCATTTCTCCTTTGTTATATGAAGGTTCTAATATGGAAATGAATAGAAGTTGGATGTATTGTTCAAGGAGTAATATGGTTTTTAAAGAAGGAGTTTAAAAAATTTCTAAATTTTGCATTCAGTTATTGGAAGTTCAAGTGAATGATACTATGCCCATGTAGAGATTGTAGAAATGGCATTTGTAGGACAAGAGATGATGTTGATAAGCTCATTTGCTTTGGAGAGGGATTCAAACCAGGATATTACTTGGACTGCTCATGAGAGAACTTCATTTAGAAATGACATGGATCACATTCTCTCAATGTAATGATGTTAATGATGAATATGGAAGGGCTATTAAATGATGCATTTGTTTGAAAGTAATACTGCATATGAACAAGAAGAAATTAATAAACCAAATGCGAATGCTTACAAAGTTTTATAAGTTGATAAGTGACTCACAAACAAGAATTAATTCCCAGATGTAAAAAGTTCTCAAAACTTGATTTTTCTTGTTAGGTTACTTCAACTTAAATGCCTTGGTATTTGTAATGAGTCAAGAATGAATGTGATATTTGTAATGAGTCAAGATGTGGCAGAAGTCATGTGGCACTTCCCATTAACACACAGATTGCAGAGATTGTCATGTCATCTAAAGACTGCATCATATATGATATGGCATAAAGAAGATCGCATAAAAGATGGTTTCATGAGGCATCCGACTGACACTCCAGCTTGCAGCACTTAGACTACCAGATACAAATTTTGCTGCAGATCCTAGAAATGTACGATTTGGTTGCATCAGATGGATTTAATCCATTTGACAATGAACTTCAACTCACAGTACTTGGCCTGTTGTATTTAGATTTAGGGCACCTTATAAGTGTCGTTAAGGAGAAATGACATGAAAAAATATATGTCATAAAGTTTAATTTTTAGGGCACATAAAGATGCCTAACCCTATTGCCAATGGCCACCTAAATGACACCATTATTTGATGCCCAATATATCATGTGCCCTAATAGATTATTATATTATGGCACTCTAAGGTGCATTAATAGCCATTATTTTTTTGTAGGGGATATTCTTTAGCTAAATCAAGTAAACCTGCCGAGCCGAGAGAGAGTTTTTCTTTATATATATATATATATATATATATATATATTATAATATTATATAATAATATATATATATATATATATATTATATAATATATAATATATATTATATAATAATATATATATATATATAATTTTTTATCATTAATAATTATTAATTATAATTAAGTATTACTATTTATAATTAATCATTATTTCTTATACTTATAATTAATTGTTAATTATAACTAATTAATTATTATTAATTAATTAATAATTATAATTCATTATTAATTAGTTATAATTATTAATTGTAATTAATTATTAATTAATTATAATTAAACTAAATTAATCATAATTAATTAATTAATAATTATAATTAGTTAATTAATCATGAGTAATTATGTATAGCTAATTATTTTCAATTATAAGTAATTGCTATTAATTAATTATTTAAAATTAATTACTATTAATTATAATTAATCATTATTAATTTTAAATAGTTAATTATTAATTATAATTAACTATAATTAATTATGGTTATTTATGTTTAATAATTATTAATGGTAAAAAAAAAAAAGAATATCAATGCTTGCCTTGATCTGGATGCCAACACTGTTGGTCCACTTATAAAGGTATAAGTTTCTAACTTAAATCCTACTCTTGGTGCTTGCGACGAGCCGACAAACCTCCCTACAAGCTCGCGTAGCATGGGGGGCATGGAAACCAGTGCGACACTTGCGACAAGGCATGTAATCCTCGAAGCTCTCATGTAGCGTGAGGGGGATAAAAATGAGTATCCATACGAGGAGAAATGACTATGCTCTCTTTTTAATAGGTACCGAAGACCCCTAAGCACACATGTAACTTAGGGAGGATTG